CCCCCCCCCCCCCCATAATCAACTGATTAAATGGTTAAACAAGAATTCTGTATGAACACCAAACCAATTTTGATATCTAATTCATGCAGATAACACGTCGCCATTAAATAAAAATTCAACAAACTTGACGCATCAGGTTAAAATATCTGTTTTAGAAATCGCATGTTATTCATTTCTGTTTTAAAGATGATCCGATAAATCACTTGGATACTGGAGTAGAGTATCACCTCGAATATGCTGATGTTAACGTCTATAAGAAAGCGACCTGAATCCAATAAGGACAATAACAGGTTTTAGGTTAAAATTTGTTGTTTGTAGAACTCAGTTCATATGAAAGGTCGTCCTTTTTCTTTCTGCGTTCTGTGTAACAGGCGCGCTGAATGATTTTGGTGCAGAGAGTATCTGTCTCTTTGTTTGCTGTGTGAATATTCTGACATCGACTACTCAAGACAGTCCTGCAGAAACAGCGGCTCAGCTCGTATCATTTCAGATTGTAACAGAGCGACCAGAATGAAAGGAAGAAGGAAAACACAGATGTAAAATTTTCCAGGGGGACGTGGACATTCCATCTCCCCTGCGAGCATTACTCCCTAAAAAAATATAGACTGACATTCCACCCCAAAAGAACAAAATGGCGCATTAGAGGGTGGAAAGGAAGAAATAACACAAGAAGGTGAGAGAGCGCAAGCAAGGGGAATGTTACTATGGCAACGGATAGGGATGTGGTGAAGCAGTACTGGTTACCATACGAAAGACGTTACAATCTGTGTGGGTGCAGCGGAGTCTGCAGGCGGGAAATTATCCGAGAAATCTATGCATAATTAGAATCAACGGGCCGAAACTGTACGGAACACAGGTCGCAGAGGGGAAAACGCACCCCGTATTTCAGCGAAAGTTCTGACTCACAGCAAGAAAGCGTTTTTAACAGCACCCTCCTTGTCTGCAGCAGATATACGGCCTACTTACAGTTCGGGAAATGCATTGCTCATATAAAGAACTGCTTAAAGTAACGACAGTTTCCACTTCTCCGATTTGACGAAACGAACTTCGTGATTAATATCTGCAGATTGAATTTTTAGTCTGTGTTATTAAATACCTACCTAGAAGAAAATACTGAAATACTATCCAAATAATATATTCTTGAAATAGTTCGGTCTGCGCACTGATTGCTGACTGGGTACACCCAATTCGGTTGTAAATCATGGGGATGAAGTCCGTAGTACAGTAGAATGTTGAGCAAGGCTTTCGTTGGCGCACAGAGTACATATTATTTACTATTATTGTCGTTATATCATCTAAAAACCAATCATACACATGTATAACACATTAAACACAGGTGGTCCTTAATACCGTTACAACATGACTTGTTTAAGAAGCTAAGTTACGTAAATTTAAATTATTTCCAAAGAATCAGAACACAGAATTTAATACATGTCCTTGAGAGAAGTGTAGTTTATAATTGTTCGAACTAACCAAAAATTAAAACTCCTCGACAAAAATAATTATAAATTTATCGTTTTCACGTAGTTCCAACCCTGTTGAATGCGGACAGACAGACGGACACGTCGATCCTACTAGCTAGTTTTCGTTTCTTATCTCAAAGCGAACGAAAAGCCACTATAATGAAGTTCATGGCTATTAATTAACACATGAAGCTATCTGAAAACTGTATACCAGAACCCGATACAATAGTTACGCCTTTATGACTCCGTCCCCAAAGCCTCGTTTTGATTAAAATATTGTACCGAAAAAAAAATTGATAAGTACCCCCACATGTTAGTTTTGCGAGGCGTTAAAGCACCCCGAAACAAAAATTCAAATTAGGTTAAAATAAATTAACTTTTAATTTTATAAATGTTGTCTCATTCCTGAAACTTAATCAAAAAAGCCATTCCTAAGACGGCTGTCTTCTGGGCTGTAACAATCGCCCTGATGATAAAGGCAGTAGGCACCTCTGAAATGTCAGCAAACTTCTACCAGACTACATGGCACTACAACCCATAAGATATCTTCATGCTAGCAGCCGTGAGAACCTGAAATGTCACGACGCCATTCCTGATTTCTATCAGACTGGTAAACATATTACAACATCATCACATGGTGCAGTAATGGAAATTCACATTTACATTTAATTAACACAGGTTAGCGGTGTACCGATTTAGGTGCCTGGATGAAGGTTTGCATAAAATTAGGAAGCTCTGGTAGACGTAAAGCTTTGATAAATGATAGGCAACTTTTCAGGTCATTATTTTCATGTTTTTGTCGCCGTCTGTCTTTAAAGCAGAAAAAGAAATAAGAAAGAGCGAAGAAGGCCCCCCCGGGGGGGGGGGAGATTTTAGGGAACAGTAAAGCTCTACGCGATGCAAGCGATCATTCGGACGCAAAAGCGGAAAAATAATTATGGCCTTTGACAGTACTAAATGTCGTAGAATGTCTGAGTGTGTCTCTTGGTACCCCCAGTACACAGGCCAACTTTAGAATGACTGTGAAAAATATTTCCTGCAAACAACCTGAAATAAATTTTACGGATACACACCACGTTCTGGCCAATTCTGGAATCACCTTGCTCAGATTTCGAAAGAAAAACAAAATATTGTTCGTGTACAACATAGAAATAGCTTTATAATACGGCGACCACTTATAACCATTTCTACATTCGAATTTTATTAGTTAATAAAAAAGTAAAGAGTCCCACTACATGCCTATGTAGGCACTTGGGGGTGAGTGGAGGTATAGCTCCTACCCTTCCTTGACCTTGGCACTAGGTGGGGGTGAGCGGTCAGCATCACGCCCCGGCCGGCTTTACCCCCGGGAAAGGACCCCGGTACCCATTGGATAGGAGGCTGGGTGGGCCCCAGAGACGGTCTGGACGCAGAGGCTAGAGGAAAAAAAAAATCCTCTGACCCCGTCGGGGATCGAACCCCAGTCATCCAGCCCGTAGCTAGTCACTATACTGACTGAGCTATCCCGGCTCACTTTATTAGTTAATAACCCTACCTTATTTCGTCTAAGGTAATTAAAATCTAAATTTCGGTAACGATTGTTGTTTATGATTACTAGACATAAGACACGGGCAATCGACTTGTCAAATAAAAAAAAATGGGGAAGGGACCCCGGTACCCATTGGATAGGAGGCTGGGTGGGCCCCAGAGACGGTCTGGACGCAGAGGCTAGAGGAAAAAAAAAATCCTCTGACCCCGTCGGGGATCGAACCCCAGTCATCCAGCCCGTAGCTAGTCACTATACTGACTGAGCTATCCCGGCTCACTTTATTAGTTAATAACCCTACCTTATTTCGTCTAAGGTAATTAAAATCTAAATTTCGGTAACGATTGTTGTTTATGATTACTAGACATAAGACACGGGCAATCGACTTGTCAAATAAAAAAAAATACTTTACAACAGCCTCTTACAAACACTCCTAACAAGTTGTCTCCCTGCTGGGCTTGGCTGCCGACCTGATGAATGCGTACAAATAAAACATGAAATGAACATGTCGAATTCCAGCAGGATGGCACAGCGTCCCTTTTCATATTGCTATTATACATTGACACATTTTAGAAAACATTCTTACCTTGGAAGTAGAGGTGTAATTCGTCTTCAGTCGCCAGTGAAAACCAAACACGTGCGCAAACACTACACTATTTAATCCTGTTACACTGAATTGTCTTCACCAGTAAAAGAAAACTACCAACTGCTCGCCCCTCCTACTAGAAGTGAAAGGATCAAACATGAACGTCCTGATGATGGAGGCAGCAAGAACCTCTGGAACGTCGTTAAACTTCTACCAGATTACACGGCGCAACAACCCAGAAGACAGCCATCTTCATAAAAAAACAAGTTCATGTCAGACCAGGCTTGTCAGAGGTCATTCAGCAGAGGATGACTAAGCACTTCAGAAAACTAATTATCGCCTACTTCTTCCAGGTTGGCTATGGGCACTAGCTCCAAGGAAAATCATACGTACATGTGTACTCAATTCATGTTGCTCATTATCACCAACATTTAACAGTTAAAAGATGCAAGCTTTGAAGATGAAACATTCAAAGTTCCTACACTGTTTTTCATGACATTTAAGATATTTTTAAGTCGACCTTATACCATAGTTTAACTCTAGTTTCAATTTACGAAAATGAAATTTACCACACGATTAGCCAAAATTATGGGGGAGTGTAGCTGAGGCAGGGTGGCGTTTCGGTACTCCTCAGTGATGTCAAACACAACATAACCTAAAGGCAAAGTGTGACACTACCCGCCACATTGGTTATATGAAATGGAGAACATAACCCCACAAACTCTGAAATAATTATTGGCTGTAGTCAGAATAGGTAAGTTGTTGCTCCGAAAATGCCCTATTTATATTATTTTTTCGTTTGTTTACGAGCTTATTGGGCAATTTCGTGCTTTCGTATTTATGATTTATGCCAATTTCTTGCAAATATAAACTGTGTTCCAATGTTTCTGAAAGAATAGATTCAATAAAAACATCCAGACAAAATGATATACTTTATTGTAATTGAGCATTCAGTTGAAAAAGACGATCACAGCACCCTTGTGCAGAGGTGTCTTGGAAGGGATGATGACACTATTGTTCATATAAGCTCCCATATTCTACACACAACAGAACAATCAAAGTATTTGCATTATGCAGGCCCCAGTAAAAGAAAGATTATACAATACTATTCACAATGACCCCAGGAAACATGCTACAATGGATTCAGAACTACAATACTGATGTACAGAGAGTAACCACCGTTGATTAAAGTATATCATGATCAGAAGTCTTACCGCCATTGTCCATACTATAACTAAAACCACTGTATATCTTAATAAAGTAATAAAATACATATAAAATATGGTAGTGTGATCTATAACTGTACTGCTGTGATAACATGCTGATGTTTTACTCATAGACCAAGCACACAGAACAAAAATATTACAAAACAATTTATACCTATATCCAAATTACCAGAATCTGTGTAGCTAAATAAATATGGGTAATATTTTATCTGAAATATATTGAGGGCTTTGATTTCTAACAATCCTTGAAGTTTCTTGTCTTTTAGATACTGCATATCACCTCAGCCCCACTTAATGGTACCTGCACCTTGTCGTGGTGGTGGGGCTTGAGTACCTCAGTGACCCCAAGAGCTACTGGTATGGCCTCCCTAGCCAGATTGGTCGAGGGGGAGAGGTCAGACTAAGACAGGTACCCTGGTCCTCCAGGTTGGGTGTTGGTCGCAAGGCTAACAACCTTGCACCATAAAAACAAAGACGTTTCGAAGCCTCGATCAAAGCTTCGGAGAGACGGACCTAACAGAGGACTGAATGGAAGAGGAGAATTGAGGAGGCCATGGACCAATAAGGACCGGAGAGCCATAGAAAAGATGAGATATCACCTCAGAGATGGTTCTAAAGCAAAGGTTATAACAAATACTGTATAACAATTTCTAAAAATGGGAATCTTCAGAGGTTCAATTCCCACACACACCAAATGTATCAGAAAGTATTAAATATTATTTTTGGCAGAATTTAGTTAGGCAAGAAAAGCCATGTCAATGAGGAGTGTGAAATTTGCATTAGCAGTGATATGCAAATCTACCTTTGACATTTCTACTTCACTTTATCAATGCTGATCTTCCTCCTACTCCTACAAATGAGACCAGTCAACATGGCACTCATGACGAAAAGTTAACAAGGAACCAATGTGTGACAAAATCTCTAGAATCCATGTCCAGTGTTCACAGTAATCAAACATAAAGAAAAGTTTAGCTCTGAAAGACAATTTCACTGCACAAGTCATTCAGCATCACTTAATGTGCAACATGATAACTAATTAGCCTTATGTCAAAGTCTATATTAATGGCAAGGTTTTCTTTCACACTTTCCATCAATGTAACATCAGCAACTCACAGCACAAAATATCAAAAATTGTCCAACATGATTATATTGCAAACATATCTTACAGATCTTCAACCTGTATCAAAGGGCAGATGACCATGAAGTCTGGTAAAAGTTCACAGACTTTCTGCCCCATTATCAGGGTGACAAGTCATTATCACTTATTGCCCTGATGATGGGAGCAGCAAGGACCTCTGAAATGTCAGTAAACTTTTACCAGACTGCACAGCACAACAACCCAGAAGACGGCAATCTTCATAACTGCTGATATGATGTGAGAACCTGAAATCTCATTCTAACAGAGGGTTCTTAGAATATTCTCTTTGAAACTTTATAGCTGAGTGGCAAATATTAACATTTTCAATTACCACAATTTCATTTTAACACCAGACGTATGATTTAGAATCCCTTAGGGTCAGTTAGCCGTGGTGGTGCGACTTGAGTACCTCAGTGACCCCAAGAGCTACTGGTATGGCCTCCCTAGCCAGATTGGTCGAGGGGGAGGGGTGAGACTAAGACAGGTACCCTGGTTGGGGGTTGGTCGCAAGGCTAACAACCTTGCACTGTAAAAAGAAAGATGTTTCGAAACCTAAACCTCGGACAGACGGACCTAACAGAATGACCGAATGGAAGAGGAGAATTGAGGAGGCCATGAACCGAATACGGACCGGAGGGCCATAGAAGAAGAAGAAGAAGAAGAAGAAGTAGGGCCAGTTAGTAACCCATTTCCACAGACACACAGTCTCACCTGTCACAATAACAGTAATATAAATATTGTAGCTAATTTTAAGTTACTCTCAGCTTAAAGTTTCAGATACTTCTTGTATTATTAAATTTATTTTCATGATAGTCACTTCATCAGTTATGAAAACCTAACCTTCCAGGATACTTATATTTTCATATATCATCTAATCACTAACAAAAACATTTATGGATCTTGTTCAACAAAAACCTGTGACTACAGAGTTATAAAATTTAATTTTTTTGTAAAAGTGAGGATTAAAGTATTCAAGGTCAATCTAGGAAATTTGGTTATTATATTATCTACAACGTATGAGTAAAAATATAAAATTCAGTCTCATATAACAATACAGTTCCACCACAAGAGGGTTCCGCTATATTGAAATAAAACATACAGACATGTCACTGTAGGTTACATTCTACGTAATTGTTTTACGAAATACGTGCATCAGGAACTACCAGTGTGTCCTGACAGAAGAACATTATAGAAAATAGGTAATTTAGTATTTTGCCCAACCATACAGACACACAGCACAGAGATCCACTCACGCTGCCAAATCTCATAGCTAACCGAGCAACAAGCGTTAAAATGAAAGTCTAAATGATTTACATCACTGGAAGACATGCAGGCAGCTATAGTATTTTTCTACTGACAGCTGCAATTTACCTGGCTCAAGCTTTGTGATGATTCAAGTTTAGCTATTATTGTATTTATAATTATTTGTTAAATCTATGATATAATAAACTTTTGCTGTCATAGTAAAAGTTAAGGACTTTGCCTTAACTAGTAGCCAAAACACATATTTATTCTAGTTCCATCGATTTCCTTAAAATTGTTCTAAAATTTTGGCCAAAAATTAACTTTGTAAAATTTTAAGGTCATAAGAAATTCATTTTCATGCCATTTCTTGTTTTTCAGTTTTTTTAATATCGCTCGGACTCAACAACCACACTGTTTTGTTGCTAACCATAATTTGATACAAGGCACCAATAACAATGTCCTTCCATTGTCAAAATTTAAAATGTTGTGGTAATGGATTGTTATTATGGATCTTACTCCCCCCAATATTCTCTTTGGACAAATTTCATAAAAGTAATTATATGAAAGCAGAGAAACTAGCTGCTCTGGTTGCTGAGCGTACAAGTTTCCAAACACCATATGATTGTTTCTTAAGGTTTCTGCTGCCACTGTACTCCAAACATTCATTTCGATCCTGCATCAAACATCTTAATCCACTCAACAAACAGGGAAAAGAACAAATCCAATAATGCACAGCCTCACAAACTGCTGGACCCGATAAACACTTACAACATTCAGTATTACAATAACACGACCAGTATCCACACACTGGTGCAGCACAAATACATTTTCGCATAACAAGTGAGCATGAATGTGATACCGTACCAAACACTATCAAAAAAGCATGAGCTATACTTAAAATGATATTGCATGAATATAGCTTTTTCTTATAATGCTCCATCATGCTTTTTTAAAGTCTTAATTAACATTACAACTTTTTGTTTCGTGCCAATAATATGGCCTCACGAAGTCCTTTAATCGTAAAACTATAAAGGCAAAAATAAAATAAATAATAAAAGACTTTCATAACTGATATGAAATTCATCCAACTTAGATCCATCACAGCAGCCGTAACTCATAATTTAACAACCAACATCTGGACTCTCTCCCCCCTTGTCCTTACACAGGAAATGGAAGAATGGTTCAACAGGCAAAATTACGTAAAAACCTAATCGGCCGATACTCTCATAGTCGCATGTTACTTGCACAGCCGTGGTTCATCCTGAATTCTACATATTTGATGCCCGTGTTATGCCAGTAGTACAGCGCAAGTACTACAAAAAGATGCCACCACTGGTGTGAGGACCCAAGGTAGTCAACCCGACCTGTAAATAAAAAAATAAATTTTTATCTGAAAATAGCTCTCTTCCGGGTTCTTGCAACATGTTTAATTACATGCCAAAAGTGCTTGCTGCCTCCATCATCAGGACAATTCAGTAAACTTTTACCAGACTACACAGCGCAACAACTGAGAGGCAGCCATCTTCATACTCGCCACCACGAGAACCTATCACATGATTTTGTATCCCTCAGGTGTGCAAGGAGGGTCTCAGCGATGTGGTTCCGCTGCTTTGACACTGTAGCAAAGCACATGTTGGAGATGATGTCACTCACAGCGAGTTAAATGAATAGATCTGTCACCTCACCATTATCACAGATAATGACAATAAATCTAGGTTGAAGATTTCTGTCTTCTGGGTTCTTGCGCTGTGTAGTCTGGTCGATGTTTACAAACGTTTCAGAACAACAATCCAGAAGACAGAAATCTTCATACTCACCGCTGTGAAAACCTCAAATCTTATAAATCTAGGTTGCCTGACGCTGTATGGAATTAAGATCTACAGCAATATAGAATACACCACAACAGCTTCCTGTACTTCATTATGCATCTGCTTCTTGCTGTCATCTGCACAAGCCTTGATGAATGAGCACAAGTGGTTTCAAGCATTCAGATGTAATCCTCTTTCACAAAGAATGCGAAGCATTTTATATTTACCACACTTCAGGAATCAGGTAAGATTCTAGAATACAACATGACTCTTATGAAACTAGCATAGCAGATTTATCATGATACAAAATTACAGTTATCCTGTGCACAGTAAACAATGAAAGTATGAAGTAAATTACTGCTACACTTAAAACAATTAAACTAAATAAAATACTGCACAACAAATTGTAATAATTAAAAACGGATGAGGTTGTTACGTTCCTAATATGACGAGTCCCACTTACCTGACCAAAACCTTTCTGGAAATTTAGAGATGTAGATTAGGAATGCCAGTCCACTGATGGCGTACATCCCCAAGACTCGCGGTAAGAGGAGCTGCGGTTGAGAAAGTTTGAATGGTTTGTTATTCAGATAATTTCCTTTTGAAAGTAGTAAAAGACTTGCTTCAGGAATTTTAGTTCTGCTGCATTTACAACACGAAGTGGTTTTTAGCCAACGCCCAATAACCATAAGGGGATTTTATGCAAGTTCCATACCACTGACCAGCTCACCATAATTTGTCCTCCTTTTTTATACTTTTTATGTAAACTCGATGAGATGGGACCAACACAAGTGCCATTTACTTGATTCATTAATTAATTTAAGCCCATCCAACCATGATTGTATGTCATACAAATATATGCTTATGATAAGCCTTTTGAAAAGTCATTTATGTTTAACTTAGTAACAGAACTGCTGCATGAAATATATATTTTTAATTTTGATAATGGTAACCAATAATTTAACCATTATGCATATTCTCGTATCATCATCACCATCTGGCTGCCAAACAGTTGGGCCAACTGTTGACCCATTCCAGCCTCGAGCACTCCAAAATCTCATAACGGGCTTGATACAAAGAACATTGAGATTGCATAATTGTGTTTCCAGACTTTAAAAGAACAAAGTTAATATTCTATATTCTGTAGCGTAAAGTTATATTGAGAGCTGAATCAGTATAGTGAATGGCTATGAGCTCGATTACCGGTTTCGAATCCTGCCATAGGGATATTTTCTCTTTTGACCGACACACAGACCAGCCCTGACATCCCTCCAGCTTCTTATCAAGCAGGGAGTGAGGGCGCTGTTTCCCTAGTAGCAAAATGGAATGTGATGCTGATCACACTTCCATCTAGACCTCAGGTTATGAATCAGTGGAGTCATACTCTATTCCACATGTTTGTTTTCATACTGGGTTGCTTAATTAAGTATAAGAAAACTTATAATGCTGTATATCTACAGACAGGACTCTACGTTCCAACACGCAATTCAGCAACCCAATGTACCATCTTCTTCGCTCAACAAATCCAATTTTCTTACCCAGATAAAAAGACAGAAGTTCCCAAAAACCATCACTGTTATAACAGCATAGTGAGATTGAAAAACTAAGCAGATTAAAATTTTTTATCAAAATACAAACAAATACAAGAAATGAAAAAAGTAAATGTGAAACTTTGTACACAAATAAAATTTGCCTAGTATTTTTTATTTACAAAGCATTCATAAATTTCCTGAGGCTTATTTTCTATTTTTCCTAACAGCCTACATCAACAACTTAGAATTCTGCAGTCTTATTTTCCAGTTTTCATACCAGTAGCAAAAACAAAATGGGAACAGTGACAAAATGTCATCTTTTCTTTTCTCTATGTCCAAAAATGTAATTTCAGTACCTGAACTACACCATTTCCCAAGCCTCCCATGATGACAGTCCAGTGGAACGTTGGAACAACACCATAAAGAGCCCAAGCCAGGAATACGATGAGCTTCGTGTTAGCATCAACTTTTAACTTTGGAATTTGCAGCACCATAGCAAATGCAAAGATGACGAATATTGTAACCAGATAGAACATCTGCCACTCCTGAAACAAAACCACAACAGAGTTTCATAGAAAAACAACCTGACATTAACATTAATTATAACTATGCATAGTTACGTATGTAATTCTCTTTTATCAAAAATTTTTGTTTCATATTTTGAAGCACATATAATAAGATATGCAATAAAAATTCACATAACTATCTCCACAGAGCATAATCCTGTTCGAGTAACTAACAGTTGTTCAACTAGTCATGAAATCACCAGCTTTTATAAAACTCAAAGGTTAATTACTATGTACTCAAGAGCCTCCCACTGGTCTGCATTCTGATCCAGGTAAATCCAGTCTGCATGTAAATATCCCATCTAAATATTATTTTCTCTATAAGCTTAAATCTTCCAACCGAAATGTTGTATACCTTCCTCTTCCCATGTAGTTCCAATTTCATCTTCCTTTATTTAATGATTCTAATATTATTTGGTAAAATTTTTTTTTAAAGTCCTCATTCAGCTATTTCCTCAACCCTCCACTACTTCTCCCTCTTGGATTGAAACACAATCACACTCAATCTATTTCCTTTTCAGGGTCAGAGACCAAGTTTCATACCCATATACAACAAGGACGACTATATTTTTGTACGTTTTTAGACAGGAGACTTCTTCTTCTTCTATGGCTCTCCGGTCCGTATTCGGTCCATGGCCTCCTCAATTCTCCTCTTCCATTCGGTCCTCTGTTAGGTCCATCTGTCCGAGGCTTTGATCGAGGTTTCGAAACATCTTCCTTTTTACGGTGCAAGGTTGTTAGCCTTGCGACCAACCCCCAACCTGGAGGACCAGGGTACCTGTCTTAGTCTGACCTCTCCCCCTCAACCAATCTGGCTAGGGAGGCCCTACCAGTAGCTCTTGGGGACACTAAGGTACTCAAGCCCCACACAGGAAGACAAAATTCTGAGAAGTCGTACAAATTTGTATAATACTTTTGAATTATAAATTATTCTACTCACTTTCTCACACCAGAATGCATAGTATATTCCAGACATGTAGATTGCTAGCAGACTCAGCGCAATACCAAATAAGTCAAATGACAGGAAGCACGTGAATGCCCTCTCGGAGCAGCAAGAGAACGTGTGATACAAAGAAGATAAAATCATGCATATCTGCAACAGTACAAGTGATGCTGTTATAGGTTAGCACAGGGATTCTGCCAGGACATAAGAAATTGGACTGAAGTGAGGTCATGATCAAGATTTGAATTTTATTTTTAAATAAGGAATCTTTAGGTATATATTAGAGTTTAATTCAGTAAATTTAGGCTATTTAAGTGTTCTAACTTATGGCAATATTGTCCAAGCTTCTGTTTTGACGATCATGAAACTTCTGGCTCCAGATTCTGCTAAAGACCATTGAGTACTTTAATTATGTACATATTTTTTCACAAACCACTAATATTGCTCCTGCATAATTTATTTTCCTGTGATTCTTTATAAAACAACAAGATTTTAAAATTTAGATTATTGTGCACACTCTATAATATTTCAGGACAATATTAAAAATACAGCTACATTTTAAAAGTTAAAATTTCAACTGCATAAATTAACTAGTTGAATGATATAATTTGAAGGACAGGCAAAGGTAAATTAGCATTCTGGAGGGAATTAGAAGGACTGGAGAGAAAGAACGCTTTTATGACAACATAAATGTTATCTCTTCTATATGGTTTCCAGAATATCACTGCAATAACACTCTTCCAGTAATACAAAGAGGCAAATTTATGTAATCTTCAACAATTTGATATATGTAATTCTTATACAAGCCACGAAAAGCAATTTCAGCAACGCTCTTAATTCAAACCATGAAGTGACTACAATGTCACTTACCAAGCACAACCGCTTACCTGGAACCCCGTGGTCTGAGGCATCATGCTTCGCACCAGTCATACGGAATGCGAGCCGGTTCGAGTCTCGGGGAAAGAAATTTCTCATGAGATTTTCGACCGGTGTATGGGACCGGTGCCAACCCAGCATCGTGAGGAAATTGGGGAGCTACAATGGGTAGCGTAATCCAGTCAGGAAAGCTAGCAATGGCTGGGGGTTAGTCGTGCTGACCACACGTCACCCTATATCTGGTTGGATGATCGTTCACCTCTGCTTAGGCATGTGAACGTGAGGCCAGCAGTCAAGCTAGTCGGCTTTGGCTCTCTGGAGCTGTTACGCAACGGATTATTATTATTAACCGCTTACCTGGAAGCAAACCAGCAGCACACCAACAATGAATTTGTCTGCAAATGATGCATGGATGTTGAGCAGAACAAGATCATACAGTGTTAACCCCATGAACAACATCCAGCCAAAGACGTGACTCCATATGTTGACCGTCTCATTAGTCCACCAGAACATGCTAGATAAAAAACAGAGTTGACATGTTTATATAACCCATAAATCCATTACACACATATATGGTTCATATTTAAACCACATTATTGATAATTTTTAAGTATGATCAAGCAAATATAAGAATTCATGATGACATTATGGGTTCTGGCACTGTGTAGACTTGTTTGTAGATGCTAATATTTCAGAGAAAATCTGAAGGTGGAAAGAGTATGTTCTCCAAAATGTTGGCATCTGCCAACAATTCCGCATGACACCAAAAAATCATAATATTATCCCCACTGATGTAAAAAAATTAAAATATCAGAGATAAAACAGTTAAGTTTTGAGAAAGCTGTCTGTGTGTTACGCATGCATACAGTAGCCTCAATGTAAATTAATACATTTCAATAAGACCTCATAATAAACATTATTTTTAATGCAAATATGTACCATTATTCAGATGTGACAAATGAAACAGTCTGTATGTTTGACAACAAATAAACGTTTAAAAATATCTGAATTAAAATAATCCTTTTAGGATAGTAAACAATAAAAGTGTTATCAATATACCTTTGGACAAGTTTCACAAAAATATTACTTAGCTTTGTGTCACATATTAAAGGTGTCATTACATCACACCATATCAAAACAAAAGAGAAAAAAAACTTTCAGATTTTACAGTTGGAATTCAAACTAAGATTCAAACCTAAAAGAAACTTCTGCACCATTTCTAAAACAATTCATTAATACTCTCCCTGTTAAAATAGTATCATGACAAAATATCATGTTGAATGCAATAAACATTTAGGTTGTGCAGGTTTCTTCATTAATATACATCATTTTAAAGAGGAAGGCCATTGTACAAACATCCTTGACCTCTGTAACAAACTAGTTAGTGCCATGTAACAGTCAAACCAGATGTTCTCCCCTTTGTTTACTGGCACTCAACTCCTGGATGTCTCCTGCGAAGTTAATGCACTTTCAATTACCTCTCCAGACACATCTTGGTGGTGAGGAAGCCCCGATATCCGGAGTGGATATAAGGATTAAACTTGAGGTAGCTCGGAGCATCATCGTATGAGAGCAGCAATGGATAGACACCACTCTTGCTCTCCTGGGTACAGTCTTCATTTTGCTGCTCCTCCCCTTTGTTACCTTTGTTACCATTATCACCCTGGAATCCAAAATCAATATTGTGAAACAGTAAAGTTAAGATTCACAGTATATTACACAGTAATTCTCAAGATTTCATCTGTCTGATTGTCAAACCCCTTAAAAAATTAAAATGTACCATAAAATTACCATAGGGAACACGCTTTTAAACAGCCTTACACTCTTGTATCACAAGAGGAAGGTGATTAGAAACATTTTAAAGATATAAATTTTTGTGCTGCTTGATATAACGATGTTTTGCACATGCGCTTCACAAACATAACCTTAAAACAATCAAACACCCAGACTTATCGACACAAGTAGCATCCGCTTGTACGCATTCAATATCTAGAGAACAAATCGACGGAAATTCATTCAATTTTGAGTGGACGTTATGCCACCAGCCAAATTTCGAAACTCGTACTTCAAAATATCCACCACTCGGTAATACCATAGTGAGACATGTTCTAAGTCGCGTGGTGGGATGATGGTAATGACGCCATTGCGCATGCTCACCACTAACAACCACAGCTAACGTATTGTTCATACACAAGGAACATAATTTTAATTCCGATCTAATATGAATTTGTATACCGTCTTCAATCATCCGTACCAAACAATGATTACAGAGGTGTGTAAGGAAAATTTAGTAACATCATAACCAACCGGAAGGTAGCGAGACTGTGATTAGTAACTCACAACGGAATAAGTTGACCCTGGTTACTTATGTCCGTACCGAAATAAGAATTACAGAAATAGGAGTTACAATGCGAAATGTGTGCAAGACACCCAAGACTTGGCAAAACATGTATGACCGATAACCACAAGGAACTAACGGAGTGGCTTAAGGGGCCACTCCTAATTTCCAAGCACCTCCTTACTCAAAACCGAACTCACCACATGCAACTCAACTGGCTCCATTATTATTCCGAAATAAGTACCTACTTTCAGTGATTAAAACTTAATTGCGGGGAAATTACTTAAAAGTTCTGGGGGACTGGGGGTCCCCTAAAATCGTTCAGTGGCTGCCTGAGCGCCATGTCACCCACGGAGTCGGCGTCCATGAACGAGATCTACAACTGTAATCTACAACTAGAATATGCCAACATAATAGAACTATATCTACCCAGGCTCTATTAAAGTGCCAACTTAATTTACTCTTGCAAACACTTCCCTCAGCAACACTGCATTTAATATCAATAATACCTACCTTCTGTAAAGTGTGTTACGCTGACTAAACACAATTTTTATGTGGACACATGCAAATATTCTCACTTCAGAATGTAAATAAATTCTGCAAGTCTAAAACTACTGACGGATTTCAATGAACACAGAATTCAGCCAGACCCTGCCAAACCTGGTGTGAGGTTCCGAAGAAACGTCGTCCATTCTTGCATATTCTCATTAGACTCACAATTTTGGAACTGACTTTTTGCTCAAAACGGCAACATTATAGGCTACATGTCTAGGTGCAGAAGAGGATGCAGTGCACAGTCTGCCAGCCATGTGACGTTGGCCCGGAACCGGCGCAACAGAAAGCGCAGAAGCTGTTTTCGCCTTCTTTGAGAATAATCAATGATTCCCGATTCTTGCCGCATTTCGCCGCAGAGCTGCCAACCTTACAGTCCTAATACAAGTACCGAACACTGCTCATACGGTATGTGAGCCACTTCCATAAACCTCCAATTCTAGCAAATTCACCTAAGATCTATGTTAAAGCAGTCCTCCCATCTTCTTCTTGGTTTTACAAGTAAAATGCCGCGAGCAATACTTCGAATCGTAAGCAGATTTCCTAACAAACATTGCATCGTGAATGAGCGTCAGTTGCATAACGAGGCTTGTACTAATAGGTTGTATTTTGTTTGTTCAGCAATGTTTTTCTTTGCACTTGTGTTATTTGGAGGTTTTAAATTCTAATGTTTGAAATGTAGAACAGTAACAGTTAATTGGGGTGGGAGGCGAAATGCAAGACTGAATATTCGCCTTAATGGTGTCAACAATATTCGGACTACAATTTCGTGGTCAAACTGTACTTTAATCACGTGACCATTCTTAATATGAAACATGTAAGAGTAATTTTGTTACTGCTTCCTGCCGGCACAAAGCACTTGTTCACACAATCAGCCCACTAGTGACCACGTACAGGGTTAGCGAGAATTTACAACTAGATTCAAAACTATCTACTGGATGACCTCAGGACCGATCAAACTGGAGACCTCGATCGATACATGGCTCACGAGCTCTACTGTTCCATGTTATTCACTAAACAAATCATATATTCGCCTATACTCGGTAGGTATTCAGTTCGACTCTATCTGAGGTACTACACAACCCATCTTAATATCTTTCACACATTTTTAAATTTTTATAGTATAACGCCGTCAAAGTTTCTTGAAACATGCCATAGTCGGTCTCTGATCAATTTCTCTCAAATCAATTTATATATAATTTATATATATTTATCCAGAAATATGAACAAATGACACAATATCAGATCTTCCTGACGAAAGAATATTGTGTGTCCCAACATTTAAACTCTGCAAGTTCACGACACAACAGTTTTCTTGAATGTTATATACATATAATTCAAATCTAAAAATCTCAATGTAAGAAACCAAGAAAAAATTACATTGTTATTTGAATGTTAGAATTTGTGGTTATAGTTCTGTTATATCTCATTCAACAGAAGCTTGTTATTTGTTCAATGTTTGATGCGCAGAAACGGGGACGAATTGCCTTTTTTATCCTCATTTCATTTTGTTTGTAATAGCGTGACGAACTGCCAGGACTGGGCGTTTTTCCTTCCTTAGAGGATTATGTGTCGTGCAAAACCGAACTTGTTCGCTCCTCGATGTGCAGATGTTACTGGAACTAGCTGTAACTGTTCATGACTGTCAAGTGCTAATTCACGAATAAATAACAGTTCACAATACAAACGGTAATCACTGACGGCAGACCAGTTAATAAAAAAGGCTGACTGGCTGACACGCTGACATGTGTCAGCTTCTACAGACTGTGCGAAAGACTATCAGGCTGTTGCTATCAGCTAAATTCTTCATTATTTTAGTAATCATGAACTTTAAAGCCGATTCACCTAAGATTGGTATTCGCGACTGTCAATACGCCCAGGAAATCTAAATCAAATGTTAACGCAAACATAAATATTGGTGAGTCAGGAAAGTAGAGTCAGTGCAGTGAAAGGTCATGGTGTGAACAACTGTGGTTCCGTTCGGAGATTAACTAACCACGTGAATAGCTGGTGTACGCTGAAACGCCTCACACAATCCACATTCCTACACTCTATCCGAATAACCTCATACAATCTTCTTCTTGGTCTTTCTAGTGGCGCTTTCCAATACATTTCTTCACTGAAATTCTGCACGCATTCCATGCGAGCTACACGCAACCTTCTACATTTCCCTTATTTCATGTTTCTTCAAAATAAATACTTCCCTGAGCACTTCGATTTCACTCACTTGTAATTTGTCTTCTTTAAATGGAGTATAAAATATATTAGAGAATTGAAGTTCTCACGGCCGCGAATATGAAGATGGCTGTCTTCTAGGTAGTTACACCGTGCAGTCTGGTAGACGATTACCAACGTTTCAGAGGTGCATCGCCCTGGTGATGGAGGCAGCAAGCACCTCTGAAACGTCGATGAACTTCTACCAGACTGCACGGTGCAACAACCCAGTCCCGTTTAAAAATAAAGATGTGTCACCTGTGTATACAGAAGATAGTAAAAGAGACTTCCTGACTAAAGTAACTGTTTCTAATCAATCTAGTCGTCTAGAAGTCAGCGGCTGGTTAGCAGAGATGGGCAGTTACCGGCGTACGTACTTAAACATCGTTATTAAAAGAGAAAACGGAACAAAAAGTGGAAAATAGAAAGACTCTCAAACAAGGCCACTCTACCGTGAAGACAGACCCCGTTATGTAGGTCTCCTTCCTCCTTCCTCGTCCTCCCCCCCCCACGCCACACAATCATGGACGTTTCGCCGCGCCACTAACCTGTATTCCGGCATACTGAGACATCAGGAGTCACTGATGTATCTTCGCTTTGGGTCCACTGAATCAACTTTTAGTCGTGAAAGTGAGGCCCAGTCTTTATTCCCTACGTTCTTTAACGATGTTTTTCAGCTTCAAAGGTTATAAAGTAGGATAAATGTGGCCGTAGCCTGTGTCTAAACAATAGGATTTAAAATATTTCGGGTTGATTTAATTATGGTTCCTGTCAGACAGGTATATAATCTACTTTACGTAAATATTGAATATAAATGTCTTCAATTTCATGAAAAATTGATTAAAGTACAAAGAATGTGTACACACTAAGGTAAAACAAAGATGTCCCCAGTGCACAACTCTTTAAAGTCGAGGGTAGCTCTTTGTACCAGGTACCTTAACGATCAGCAAATCTAAATGTTGTATTTATGGGTTTCGTATGATTCTAACTGTAAACAGCGATTACTTCCTTGAACAGCATTAACAAATTTATCTTTGTAAAGGTAAACTGTTGTTTTCTTTGCGGTACGGACTGAATTCCCTCAGAGAAGCTTTATCTACAAAGGCCTAACTAAGTATCACGTGAGGACAAATGAAGTTTTTGCTCAATGCATTCTTAACCTCGGTAATGGAGGCGAGTGATTAACTACACGCCTCGGCCGTTTTGTCTCCGAAAAAATAATCCTGGTCCCATTTGAAAGGAGGCTGGGCAAAACCCAGTCACTCATCCCATAGCCTAGTCCACTGGTATTCAACCATTTCTTGTTCGCGTACCCCCAGATATAATTTCTCTTCAACTTTGTACCCCCAAAGTTGTTGGTGTATAATTCAAGTTATACATAGTATATAATCTATATCTGAAATAAATTAAATAAATTACATTATTGATTATTCAGTGTTTATCATAAAATAATTTTTTTTTTTAAATTTCACGTACCCCCTAAGATGTCTTCGCGTACCCCCGGGGGTACGCGTACCCCAGGTTGAATACCACTGACCTAGTCAATATGGTGACTGAAC